TAGTAACGGGGGATGGTATGATACAATTATATTAACATTAGTATAAATTGAACCATACCTTCCCTCTTTACTAAACCTAAGCTTCGCAAACTTGACTTAAATTCGATTAAATATTAATATAAATTATGAAACATTGTGAGTCTCCATGTTTGAGGCTCCACTTGTACAAAAGGTTCCACTTTGTTGGTGTATATCCGGACCACTGGCTCCACTTCTACTCTATACAAACACACACACATCCATACACATACACGGATGCACGTACATACAGCTTTTCCATGCGCAATTGCTACTTACTCTGTATCAGCAATCTATCGTTGAATCCCTTAATCACTCGTGGAGCATCGGGTCTTTATGAAAGAATAATAGTTACTGTTAAAATACGTAATAGTATATAATTATATTGATTTGGTTTAATATGGTAATGTTGAATTGTCGCATTAAATGAATTGATTTGATTGAACACAGTTATCTTAATTACCCACCATCAGATTAGCATAGTTCTTAATATTTATTGTTTATTCATAGTTTCAATATGTCATATCGCGAGTTTCTGAATATTAATTACTTCTTCTATTGTTCTAAAAATATTTCACATAATATCAAATAATTGGTATGTGAAGATGTGTGTATTCTTGTTACATTACGAACAATAACCATGCTATAAAATACGATATTCGAAATGTATTGTTGATTCCTTGTTGGTCTATATGATAAATATCAATATAAATATATATTCACTGTTTAAACCCACATGAGCCCATTTACACACGTTCGTTTGACGGTAACTCCAGCTAAATCTGCAATAGCACACAGCTTTGTCTCTATTGTCTAGGAATAGGGGATCTTAATTCATGTCTAAGTGTAGTCAGTGTACCATCTATATATCTATAGTATTAATAGTAATATAAACCTCCTTTGAACCTTTAAGACTATATAATTTCATGTGAGTACAAATCCCTGGTTTACTTATTCCACGTGAAAACATTCCCGGCATTTTGAAATCTTGATATACACAAAGTGATACATTTTACAAGGAAAAGCGAATGGCCTAAACAATATGTCACACGACAATGATTTATGATAACTAGAAATACTATCTCTATTCAAGTAGAAGTACACATGAATGAAAATATACCTACATTTTAAACTGATTAGTTTTCAATTTATTGTTTCTAATTCTTGTTGCAGATATGCCGATAAGAGTGTTGCATCCCAGCGATTTAGGTGGACGACACAAAAACACAGTGTTTCCCAGAGCTCTAGGATGCGGGTATTCACACATATCTTTCCAGTGTCCTTCTCTTTGTATAAAACAATTAGAATTTTCTGTTTTATTGTCATTCCGAAAAGTTCCCTTCCAATATCCTCTAAATTCCATTGGCAACAAAATTAATTTCTGTTGTTTGATTGCTTCTCGCTGTAAAACTAACATAATCTGGACTACCACTTTTCCCGAAAAACCAGCATAAAAATGCACTGTGTATGTTCCATTATCATGGTCGATAATCTTTCCCATAGAACCAAACCTACTGGTCGTGTTGTAGATAGCTGCCCGCCATAAATCACCACCAAGATAACGTCTTCTACCGTTGTCATCTCGTGCATGCAGTCTTAAAGTAATTATATCGCCCTGGAAAGTAGAGTTGACGTCAGATAGATAAATTATCTCTGTTTTGAGAGCGCTGGTTTGTCCGCGACTACCTATAAAACCGGCGGAAACATTCCAAGTGTGAGTTTCAATCTGAATTGTGTCTTGAGCATCTTGTACCTCATGTGACCAATAATGTTTTCCTATTGTCTTTGAGATGACGGAACTAGAGTATTTCATAGTTGTTTGCCATGGCAATACATCCTGGAATAAAGAAGTATGGAAACAGAGTTGCGCGTTACCTGTTTAATAAACTGTCACTACCAAATGTCTATCATAATATGACGAGAATGTTGGACATTGATGTATCAAATATATAGATATAAGATCACTAGATAAATATCTGTATTGAGATAATTATTTTATTAGCATAAGACGCATCTCAAATATTACATACAGTAGTTTCACTGAACAATACTTATAGACGTCACAGATTAATAATTAAATTTCAAAATGTAGAAATGCTATGTATATTTGAGTATGTTGAATCAATGTCAACATAATCAACATTTATATTACATAATAACACTATAAATGTTTACTTTCACATTTACATTGTTGTGAACAAAATAAGTGTTGGTTTGAGGAGTACTCTTTATATTGTCAAACAAATGGAAATGTTTACAACCCTTACCATGAAAACGTGAATACTTCCAACAGCAAGTACTATGAGTATAGCCAGTAAAATAGCGAATCGTTTAGTTGTCATTTTGATCTCTGAAAAGGAAATGGTGTTACGGGGATACTTCTTAAAATGGACTCAGTAATTCAAAAAATCTGCATAAAATGCCATACAGAGTAATCCCCTTATGAATGTAATTGTTCAATATAAACAAGAAATTGCAACAAGAAAATGAAAAGAAGATGATGATGATGATGAAATATTGGATAATAATCAGTTTTAAATAATTCATCCCGCGGACAACGTGTTATAAAACAATATTGGTGTTTCAGCAAATTGCAGATGAGACCAGCAGCTCATTTAAATAAGCAAATATTATCATATTGGTATTTTGATGAGAATTTAATTAAGATTATGGTGATTTTTTGGTCAGAGCGCCCTCTAGTATTTGTCAGGGATCATGTTTATTTGGAAAGCTCTGATTGAATGGAAGTTTGAGCCTAGCAAGGTGTGACAAAATTGGCCTGTTATGTTCAGATTCAAATAAGCATGAACCACTAATTTGATAGGGAAGTAATAATTATAATGCAACAAGTTGTTTTAATTGCTGTTGTGGTAGAGTTTTTATATTTCCCTGTCAAATGCATTTATTGGTCCACTGAAAAAAACAAAATAATGTTTCCCTGTAACTTAGACTCTTATTGATCAAGGCATTTTTAAATCATGGGTGTTAACTCTTCAGTCCTTTGCAATGCTTCAGTCAATGTTATCTTCACTATCTACCCAGCTCCTCATCGGGCACTATGTGATTGTTGTGGTATATTTAGTACAGACAGTAGGGCAATTGTCACATTTAGTGCTCAAAGAAAAAATCTCTGTCCATATGTGTTTTTAAAAAATAGATGAAGTTTCTTTGGCTTGCATAAAATTCACTGGCTGCGTACATACAGGTATATTGGTTTACCTGTTGCTAGTGGAAATTTAGCCAATCATATTACCCAAGATATTTGGACATTTGACACATGTCACAACACTCGATTCCAAGTGCCACACCTTAGAAAAAGTAGTCAAATCTGATATTGGCTGGAGCTTTTGTTTATATGGAAATGGTCATGGTGAATGGCAAACTCGATGGTCAGAAAGTAATAAAAATAAGCACAGGCTAACTCTGGCCACCCCACTATTAAGTAAAAGGCTGTTTATAAGGCCAATTATGATGTTTCATGTTTCTTATGGATAACAATCTTAATCATAACCTTCTATGCTCCTGTGCCCAACCATTAGGAACCATCATATTAAACAACAGGTGTCACTATTACTAAGAAAAATGTACTTTTTTGTATTAAAATTACTGAATGCTTATGCTTATGTTCTAAGAAGTTAGTTACTGAACATTTAATATCTGGCAATGCATTGGTTTAGTACCCTAACTATCTGTTAAAAGGAGTCTGAATTCACTTAATGATATATCATATAGTGCATCGTGATTTGTACTAGCAACTCAGAGTCCAGTTTACATAGTGGTTCTCCCACCAAAAATACCAAAGTGTGAACTACACAGTAGGTTGCCTTTAACATACAACTGCAGCAACAATAACAACAGCAATAGCAACATCAACAATATATACCATCTCTATATAGCTCTGATTACATTTCAGTGAATAATCTGTTTTTCTTCAAAATATGTCTATAAATGCAGTATAGCTACTGCAGTGAAGGCATATCATATTGCCAAACAAACCGGTCTATGAGGCCACACTCACAGAATAACTTTTAGAGAACCACATTCATTCGTAAATTATTTTTTCAAGTAAAATCATTTTGAATTTTGACGATGGTAGTGGTGTCCAAAACTAATCTCCTCTCCCAAAAACAATGAAAAATGAGGTCAAATATTAAATACGCTAATGAATGTCATTGACAGACGTGAACAAACAAACAAAAGACTGTTGGTATGAACATTGAGTGCAGTATGATCAAGAATAGCATTAAACAAAATGCAGTTTATTTAGGTTAGCAATAACAATAAAAAGCTAACTATTCGTTGCTACATGTATTTAATTAGCTGTTAAAGAATCAGTTTTAGACAATCTTGTGTTTTTTTCAAACTGTGTCCAGTGTATGCGGCTCGGCCCAAAATACAAACCTGCGAATTTACGCATGTCTTAGCAGGTACTACTTAGATAATATACTCTAAAACACATTGCTATGTGAAGAGTTAATTATTTTAAACTGTAGTTTTCTAGTTAGCATGCGTGTCTATCCACTCTGTCATTCATTAGTTGCGACTCTCCATCAGTTATATTTTTATTTGATCCAAACACCCGAAACGAGGGGTATAGATTATATTTAGATCACGATTTAGATTGTATCTCGGACAATAACATGATCATAAGTGCACTTAAGGTAGGGACCAGGGAAATTTGGAGTTTGAACATAAAGAATTCCTGGAGAGCAATGCATAAAGCTACCCCAACAAAGTATATATATTCTGAAAGCTTGAATATTGGAGAATACAACAGACCATATTGCGTGCCCAATGTTACCGAATTGATCACGTGACACTGTGTTTAGCTAAACCCCCGAAACATTGATAATCTCGCGATATCTTGAAAACGCTGTGAGATATCCGTCCAAAAATGTGTGAATGAACGAAGTGTGAACTGTTTTTTTAAAAGTGCGTCTAGAAATTTGTATCGGGTATTATCTCTTTACCATGTGTCATCCTATCATATTTCCTGTGCAATTATTGAATCATGTCTGACACTTTTCAGTAGTTCTTATTCATGCAAAAAAAAAGATGTGACTAAATCTAGACGCACTTCTTTAGATCATGCCTCAAATATCCGGTGTAAATATTTCGAAACACTGACGCGAACGAAGAAGATTTGAGGGCGGGGAAAAGTAGTTGTCCTAGGTCGCACTACCAAGTGGAGAAAAATGCCAAAAACATGTTTGTGACACTTTTTCGCCAATAAAATCAAAATGTTGGTTCCAAGCCATTTCAAAAATTGATAATTTGGTGCCCACTACTATATCCTTGTCGACGATAGAGTCTCACCAAGAACAATCCAGTGAAAATGGGTAAAATCGGTAAAAAAATAACGATTTGTCACGGTCTCCCGCTCTACAAACTCTGTGTCAATAGTTGAATAATCGATGTCAAGTGTCGAGAGCGTGGCTTAGTTGTTATGTAAATCAATAAACATTGCGGTCTGCTATTACCGAAAGCTTATTTACCTACAACTTGGTTAGAAGTGGATAAGACACGAGGGATAACAGCAGTATGACGAAAAGCACTTAGACCCCTTCTTGCAACAACCATTCCTATACACCGCCCTAGGCCCCGAATTAGCGGACCAGTAGCCCGACCAGGCTCCAAACGCCCGCCTGAACTTTCCCACCGGGACTTTCCTGCCACGTCCAACACGAATTTTTTTCTTCAATGTGTCTGCTCTAGGGGGTACTAAATTTACATTGCGTCCGCAATAGGGGGTATGGTTTGCCAATGTGCTGCCAGCTTTAGAGAGCTATTATTTGTTAGCAATAATGCACAGACCATTCAAATCCGAGACCATTCAAATCCGAGAAAATTCTATCAGAACAATAAATTCTATTTTAAACTATCAGAGCATGTACAATCAGTGCTTACAAAGTAAGCTCGCCATAAGCCCGGGTCTCACTTTAAATATCAGTCTAGCCACAACTATTACAGGCACTTTTTCACCTGCGTGATTGCTAACATTTGCTATCGTTTGCTGGCGACAGTGTTGATATTGTTGAGCTTAGAATTGATGTGAGGATTACATGAATGGAATTCATACATACATATTCGAAAAATTCAGCATTTATTTTGGACATCTGAGTTTGGGCATTTATTCATTGTGCAGATCATCACTTTTCGTTTTCAGTTTAAATTTACTACAAGTTGTTAAGGATTACAATGTTTGAGCTAGTTGTTAACGACGTGGCTTTAATTGCCATTTAGTAAAATGTTTTTTTTTTACAATAATTCTGCATTTATTGATGTAAGCAAATGAAATAAAAACACGATTCGTCATTATATGTACATAATACAATTGTGGTACAAATGGTTTGTTTATACTGAAGTAAATTATTGTAAACTTATTTGTAAATAAATATAGATTATTACTTATTTATATATGTATGTATATAATGAATTATGTACAAATATATTTTACAAACTTCAGATACCAATATTATATATATATATTTGTTATCACTTTCGACGTAGCTTCTATTGCACTATTTTTCTACTTTATAGCTTCTACTCTAGATTTCCCAGCGTGGCAAGTTCACTTGACATGCATTTTACACTTTAGTTTATAGTTGATATTATTTATCACTAGAATCACATATAAGCCCAATAATAAATTCACACGGTGAACCCATTTACCCGAAATATTATCATAGACTACGTCTCCCTAAAACAAAATTCAAAACATATGATAGAAATTCCCAATGGCAATTGCATAAGTATACCAGAGTCACCCCTTTCCCATGATACAGTGAAAATGTAGAAAAATGGTACCAACATCTTCCCAGAACCACCGGGAATCTGATATGAAACTTTAGATACATGTACTTCCAACATATATTCATAATTCATACAAATTCCAAGTAAATGACGTACAATAAACAATCACACAAGTGCTGATCCATGCGTTGCTATGCCAGCAGACAGAATAATTGTACTCTCTAGCAGTTTTATTTGTCTACAGAAAGTATTCAACTCATTACAAAACTGTCGCGTCTACGCTATGGATTTAGGATCCCCACAACGTCACTGAAAGTTTATATTACGGAATAATCATATCTGAATGTTTCGTGCATAATTTCAATTCTTCTCAAACTAAAATAACATACCTGTCCGGTGCTTCCAAACGATCTTGAAGGAACAAAAAAACGTCGCCGACACCCTGTCAGGTCACATGCAATTAATCAACCAATCACCGTCCGTAAAGCAGTTGAATTTAAATGCCTTGCAAAAACCAATGATGATGGTGTGCCCTGGCGTGCATCATCTGGGTCAAAGATGAGACTGACATGTGGTCTTTTGTTTACTACTTAACGACTGTGTACCTGTGAGTTTATTCTGTGTGTATTTGGATGTTCTAATCTTGGTGTTTTTCCAGTGATTTCTCTAGATGCAAACTAAATACAGTAGAGTTTTGAGCTGGCCAACATGTGCGTTTTTTTCATGTAGTTGATTACTGGCATGTTGATTTCACATTTTAGAGCTATGTTTTCAACTTTGTTTATCATTTTCATATAGCAATCTCCTCATATGTTAACATTGTCGTCAATGGAGTTCCAATTAGTGGTATGACCCCTGTCAACATTTTCAAAGACTGACCCGATAGGGTCATGATCTCACATTCATAATCGTGCCATAGAGGGTGCATGTGATTGCCAGCCGCAATGCAGCCAGGCATTTTGACTATTAATGGTGGAGCGATTATTCGATTTGAATAGCGCCACCAACGGCGCGGAATCATGTTTTTATTTCAATCTCGGGTGATTTACAGTAATGAATTAATTTGCAGGTCTCAAATGCAACAAGGTCTAAAAGTTTTAAGATCAATGGGGAAAACTCCACCCCATACAGTGTACATCCTAAATGTTCACTTTATGTTCCTCTAAAAGGATGAAAGCCAAAATGACATTATCATAATCTTTATCAACCTCCAAATCCAAGCCGAAGGTTCATTTGAATTTATTACACTCGTTCTATTTTCAATGGCGTAGTTGTCTGAACTGTGAATATTGGAAGCACTTTCATGTTTTTCAATAAAACCCACCGTTTTAATTTGTTTAATTTGTTAATTTAATATATGTATTATATAACACTTGTCCCTATCAAAACAGTAGTGTTTTCGAATTTTTAGAAAAGTTATTTGGGGAGTTATTTAAACACTTTTTGATAAAAATTAAACAGGGAAATAAATGTGTCATTAAAGTGTTTTATAGGACATTTTTTGACAAATGCATGCAAGCATTATTAACAAAATTTAGTGAAAAGTCTGAGTAAACATTATACTATATTGTCGCATACGACTTATTTGCTACTTCCGTGTCACTGAGAATGTTCTAGAACCGTACTGTGTCTGGGTGGAATATTCTATATTTTTTAGAAAATGGTTGAATAGGTAATAGAACACTGTTGGAGGCAATAGAAGGTAATGGAACATTCTAGAAATTTGTAGTAAGTTCCAGACTCATTATGTATGCTGATGTAATGGTCTATTTATAGACAGTGCAGGTATATATAGGGGAGTTGTTCAGCACTGAGATCAGATCGGAGATCTCGATGAATTGTATTGGAGTTTAAGTATCTAGTTATTGGAGTAGTGGAGTTTTACCGCGTTATTGTACTTGATGTTTGCAGAGTATAATAATACCAGTACCAGTTGAAACCTCATCTGTTGGCTCCGTATTCGTATTTTATCATCGCCGCCAGGGAAGCCTTTCTGTTACTGTTGCCATTTTGGTAGTTGAACCATCACACCTGTACTATACCAATTACGGTAATATTACGTTGCGTGTTACATATATAGATGGTGACGCAATTCAACGCATAATGAGATGCTCAAAACAATACTTTCAGAAAATAGTTCTATGTTAAGCACCAGATTGTGGAATTCTTTTTATGCTTATATAGTATAAATATATGCAACCTATAAATACAACAAGAAATAGAGACATGTGGTGTGCATGACAGTAACTAAAACACGTTACTTCCAAATTGTTTTTCTTGAAGCAATTCAGAAAACAAAGACATACGTACATACAGACTTAGATCCTTCTTTTTTCACCTAGTGTTAGGGTTTTGCAAGGTTCAGACACTGGTTTACAATGATCTAGCATTGTAATCACACCTTCTTCGGTGATGCTGCTACTGTTCTCCACTTCCCCATCTGTCGCTTACTGCACGACACTTTCTGCTTTGTTCTTAATATTCTTCTGCATCGTTGGCTTAACAATTTCACTAACCTCATCGGAATTCGTTGAGCTACGACCCAAACATGGTTTCAATAGATTCATGTGTACAGCCCGAGTCTTACCAGTGCCCTCCGATCGAATCACGTAGACATATGAAACACTTTTCCCATCAGTCCGCAATTTTTATTTTACCTTGAAGTCCAACATTGCGCTTAAGTACACTGTCACCTATCTCCAATAGTGTATCTCTGACCCGCGCATCATATCGTAGTTTACTGTCGATGACAGTTCGCTCAGCATACATTTTTTGGCAATATCGTAAGCATGTGTCATCTCCTGAAATGTTACTATATATTATGTGGGAGTCTCACGACTCTTAACCCCTGGTGATATCCCAAATCGTACATCCAACGCGACCTTAGCTCTGCGTTCAAAACTGGGGTTATAGGATGGGAAACCGGTTGTGTCATGTGAGCGGGCGACGTGTGCCTTCCAATATAGTGCCCCACAAGTTAAGCAACGTTCGGCTGGACTGCTCTGTCTGACCATTTCCTTGAGGATGATATCCCCGGGGTATATTCATGACTTTTGGATGCCAAGCAGTTCACATAGTTCACTTATGATCTTTGATCCTTCCATGGCCTGCATGTAATCGACCAGGACATCCGTAATGTACCAAGAAACCTTCCCATAGATGTTCAGCCGTTGCTTTTGCAGTTTTTTTGCGTGTTGTTGGTATTGTAACTACATACTACAAGCAGATCTTTATAACCACCCTTGGACTCTTATAAACTTAGGTAATCTAAACAAATCAGCTCCATGGGTTGACTCATTGTTATATTAACAAGCAGAGCACATGTTGTGGCACCAGCGGGGTTCTTCCTTTGTGTACATCGATGACATGTAAGTATGTGTTCCTTCATATCAGTGGGCATTCTCGGCTAATAAAATCGCGCATTAATGAGGTTACCAACTACCTATGTAAATCGCGTTCAGCAACTTATTACAGCTCGTGTTACAGGTCGCTAACTGGGACAATATGGTTTACTTTTAGCTCGGTTCGATTAGTTGATAAATCCCGTCAGAGGTAAATTACATAACGTGATTTGCATACTTATTAGGTAGTTAAAGGCGTGTAAACAGGCTGCCATAACAATAACCAAATGCCTAAAAATACATTGGTAAAAATGTTTAACGGCATCTATTGTAATATGTACTTATGTTTTTATAATAATATATCTTATTGAACAAAAACGTTGTATTTTGTAGGTAGTTCAAAATTGTTAATTATTCATTTGCATACTTTTCATTTGCATAGCTTCGTTTGTTTGTTTAGTTCCTCTACTGCGCATGATTCTTGTAGCCAGTTCGCTTCGTTCTGTTTACTTGCACTGTTTATATCGCACGCTGTTCGTGCCCAGTCATTTCTGTTCGGGTTATTTTCAATTTACTTTCTCGCTATGCCAAGAAGTAAGCGGCGCTCAACATGCTCTGGCTGCAAGCTCGATGTGGAAGCTCACACCTGGGG